TGTCATGAGATCTAGTCGGTCTGAGCAGAACCGCTTGGCAACATCCCGAGTTGGTGTCGTGGACAGTGGCAAGGCTTTTGGCCAAAGTTTCTGGAGGCGAAAACATCTGCCATCTCACAGTTCGCCAAACACAAGGATATGGCAAAAAAATAGCTGCTGCAAACAACATGCAACTGATGAAGGATGTAAAAAAGCGTGCCCAGATGTTGGTTGTTGCGAATCTGCTTCCTCACGTCGAAACGGCTGGAACCAAGGCCACGAAGCCTCCCAAGGGGTGCTTTGTCTGTCATCAGATCTAGACGGTCTGAGCAGAACAGCTTGGCAACATCCCGAGTTGGTGTCGTGGACAGTGGCAAGGCATTTGACCACAGATTCTGGAGACGGAAACATCTGCCATCTCACAGTTGGTCAAACACAAGGATATGGCAAACAATTAGCTGCTGGGAACAACATGAAGCTGATCAAGCATGTAAAAGAAATGCCCTATTGTTGGTTGTTGCGAATCTGCTTTCTCAGGTCGAAACGGCTGGGACCATGCCCAAGCCTCCGAACGGATGCCATGTTTGACATTTCAACGTAGTCGGTTTGAGCAAAAAGGCTTGGCAACATCCCGTCTTGGTGTCTTGGACGTGGCAAGGCTTTTGACCACAGTTTCTGGAGGCGGAAACATCTGCCATCTCACAGTTGGTCAAGCAGAAGGAAATGGCAAATAATTAGCTGCTGGAGTAATATTGCAGATCAAGCATATAAGAAGCGTGCCCTGATGTTGGCTGTTGCGAATCTGCTTCCTCACGTCGAAACGGCTGCAGCCCAGCCCGTCGGTCTGAGCAGGAAAGCTTGGCAACATCCCGTCTTGGTGTCTTGGACAGTGGCAAGGCTCCTGAGCACAGCTTGTGGAGGTGGAAAAATCTGCCATCTCACAGCTGGTCAAACACAAGAACATGGAAAATAATTACTATCTGGGAACAACATGGAGCTGATTAAGCATGCAAAAAGCATGCCCTAATGTTGGCTGTGGCGACTCTGCTTCCTCACGTCGAAACGGCTGGACCACGAAGCCTCCCAAGGGATGCTTTGTCTGTCATCAGATCTAGTCGGTCTGAGCAGAAACTTGGCGACATGACAGTGGCAAGGCTTTTGACCAAAGTTTCTGGAGGCGAAAACATCTGCCATCTCACAGTTGGTCAAACACAAGGATATCGCAAATAATCAGCTGCTGGGAACAACATTGCAGATGAAGCATATAAGAAGCGTGCCCTGATGTTGGCTGTTGCGAATCTGCTTCCTCCCGTCGAAACGGCTGCAGCCCAGCCCGTGATGCCTCCCAAGGGATGCTATGCTTGCCATCAGATGTAATTTGTCTGAGCAGAAAAGCTTGGCAACATCTCGTCATGGTGTCTTGGACAGTGGCAAGGCTCCTGAGCACAGCTTGTGGAGGTGGAAACATCTGCCATCTCACAGCTGGTCAAACACAAGAACATGGAAAATAATTACTATCTGGGAACAACATGGAGCTGATTAAGCATGCAAAAAGCATGCCCTAATGTTGGCTGTGGCGACTCTGCTTCCTCACGTCGAAACGGCTGGACCACGAAGCCTCCCAAGGGATGCTTTGTCTGTCATCAGATCTAGTCGGTCTGAGCAGAACAGCTTGGCAACATCCCGTCTTGGCGTCTTGGTCGTGGCAAGGCTTTTGACCACAGTTTCTGGAGGCGGAAACATCTGCCATCTCACAGTTGGTCAAGCAGAAGGAAATGGCAAATAATCAGCTACTGGGAACAACATGGAGCTGATCAAGCATGTAAGAAGCGTGCCCTGATGTTGGCTGTTGCGAATCTGCTTCCTCACGTCGAAACGGCTGGAACCAAGCCCACGCAACGCTGCCTCCTGGCAAAAAAGCTCTCTCGCACCCAGGCCCGGTCGTCTGAGCAGGCTGATGGGGCGTGCGAGTGGGCGTGCGCTTCATGCTTTTCTTGGCCGTCAGCCAGGCCAACAAACTGCAACCAGTCACTTTTGCACAGGAGCAAACTGGTGGAGCTCCGCGGGAGTGAAATCAGCGGTTGCGACTGCTTCCGTCCCCGTTAAGCCTGCGGGAACTAAGTGGGCTAGAGCAACATGCCAAGAGCTGAACCGGTCAAGCACAAACAAGTTGAGGACAGCTGAGTCAACGCCTAGTCTCAAGCACACCGCCAGAAATGGCTGCTTAGGCTCGATACTACCTCGTAGGATGCAGCTCAGGGACCATCTTTGATTGCGGCCGTCACTGTATGCAATTATTCGGGCTAAGCCTGCTGTGACTTGCGGGACAAATGTCGTCAGGTCACAGTCGCTGTCACACTGGGGGGCTGGGCAAGTTCCAAATAGACCACCGCTTGCCGAGCCACAGCGTGCCGTGCATCGAAAGCACAGCAGCGCAAGTGCCGGCATCATGCTGGCCTCATTATTTTACCATGATCAAAGTCACCCCCTAAGTCATGGGTTAAAGGGAAACAACCGAATCCATTTTCTGACCTTTGACAACCCGTACTCAAAATAATGACCCCAGTCATAGCTCAAGTTTGGAATGGCAGCGCTTGAGCACCCACCCACGGCGCCGAGCAAAGTTTTGGTGGGCAGGATGATGATGGGTCGGGGCTTAACGGGCAGCTGAAGCCCCCAAAAAAGTCGCCTCTCTCGCAAGCAGCTTGCCAGGGATGCAACATGACTGCAGGTGCACTCACCATCGCGAAGGGCTTTATGTAAGGCTCATATCAGCATTGCTTGCTGGGAGACTCAACTCAAGCCGAGGGAGGCTCGCTTGGCAAGAAAGCACACTGAACACTGAGAGTTAGTTAGACGCTTGTAAGCCTGTGAACACGGCGCTTGGCTGCGTGCAAGCTTTGGGTCGCAGTTTGCGCGCCCTGCGGCACGAAGGCGCAGGCGATTGCAAACAAAATGGGGCCTTATGCAGTGAACGTGCGGGTAAAACCGACTTCAGCCTATGACAGCAGCTTCGTGCTGACAGTTATCCAATTTGTTGGCCCACACTTTGCCCGCAACTGGGAGGCCAAGTTGCGCTCGCGGGCTAAATCCTACGAAAATTGAACGGCCAGCACGTGAAACTGGCACCTGCCAGCTATTTGACAAAGCTGCCAGGGGCGCTTCTATACTTCAGTCTGACCTTGCGAATCATCTCGGCCCGCCCGTAGGCTTCAGACAGGCCTAACTCTGGCGACTGCAGCACAGCAAATGACTGATATCAGAGAAACCGGTCTGCTTGGCAACACATGTTGTTGCATTATCGTTTTTCTTGCGACCAACAACGGCTGAAGTTGCACCAGCCATGGACCGCACAGCACTACCCGTCGCCCCGTCGCCCCTGCCCTCAGTAGGAAAGTAGACGCCTCACGGTATTATGTGACTCTGCCACATTTTGCGAATTTGGCAACTGCATTCTATTCGCCAAGCTTCGTACGTTGCGAGCTTCTGCGAGACAGCCGAAGATCTGCCAATACACACGCAGGACGCTGGACAGGCAGCCTGTGTGCATTCTTTGGGGATCAGGTGACAAGCTGCCATGCGTTCAGGCCATCAATGCAGAGATGCCTTACCACCTGGTTCCACCAGGATCAGTCACTGAACGCGTCTTGGTCAATATGTTGCGTGCAGCGGCAGTTAGCAGCCGTTCTGCGTTCCAACAGGCTGCCAACCAAGGTCATGTTGATGTCAACCATCACACGCGAGGACAGATCCCGGAGCCACAGTGGCCCACTTGGCAGCTCACTTCCGCTCACCTCGGGCGCAAGCAAAGCCATTGCAGGAATCGCGCCAGTTCTGCGTTTGCAAAACAATACCAAATAGCCCGAACGCACCCGGCTGCAGCAGTGCCACTCAAAACACTAACTGCGAACCCTTTCCTCCAGTCTCTACTTCACCTACAACTCCAAGCCAGAATGATAAGGTCAGCGCGCGTCCGAAACTGCAACCATTCCAGCACTGCCGGCAACTCGGTCCGTTGCGGATGGAGAGCATTGCATCAAACACATTCGACCCGCTATGCAAAACAAACTCGCAGCTTTGTTCAGCAAAGCTTTCTGAACTGTTCCGCAAAGATCCAAGGAGTCAGTAGCTAGGCAATTCAGCAAAGCTTGGAAGGCCTAGTATCAGCTACCACCAAGACAAGCAAAAAAGCAACCTTGTTCTGGCTCTTTCGGCTCTATCTGTCGCCCTAGCAACTTTTCACCCAGACCCCCAGCGGCCAGGGAAAAATAGGCACCAACTTTTTGGGGCAATTGACTTCTCCAGCAGGGCATCCCCAGGAGTCTGGGTCATTGGATTAGCTTTGTGCGTGAAGGCAGATCGCCAAGTGAAACATCTGGCATTTGGCGGTGCTTTCAGGGACTGGTAACCGATCGCTTTGACCTAGGTTTCACATGGATTCCTCTGGCTGCCGTACCTGGAACTGGGAATGTCAATTGGGTGACGTGGTTCCAGTCGAGGAAGGGATAAATCGATGGGGGTCTGTTGAAAACTCCTTCGATGTCGACTTGGCCGATTGATCTCACTGGGGTTGAACACGTCCTGGACGTTTCAGCCTACTAGCGTGGTCTTGTAAACATGTCCAGAAACTTGGGAAGCGACTGGTGCTAGCGCCGTTGTAGGTACTATGCAGGTACTCCCCTACAGATCAACATGGAACGCAACCAACATCCGATTTCTGGGGGGAATACTTTGGGAAATGAACGCCCTAGCATATTACAATTCAAAAGTGCCCAGACTATATTTGGCGAGTTGCTAGTGGTACTGCGCTGATAGAAAAAGAGATTTACTTTACATGTGTATTTCTTGAATGTTCATCTATTCTCTCTAAGAAAGAAAAACAATCCACGACGCTCCCTTTCTATTCAATGTTTCTCTATTCAGGTTGTTTCTTCAATGTTCCAACAATCCACGACGCTCCCTTGCGCCAACCGGAACTTGAAGCTAGGCTTAAGGTACTCTTCCCCCACCAATGGCCCGTCCTTGCAGGTCATTGCTGCTGCACCGCTACCAGCCTGAACCCAGGGTGGCCCAAGAGGTGGAAGTTCTTTGGAACACATCAGGAAGCACCCACCCCTTTCATTTGCTTTCCCCTTTACGAATGGGGATGGGAGGAAATGAGGCATGAGGCGGTTCTCGGATTTTGGCAAGTGAACCAGCCACATTTGGCAACTTTTTAGCGTTCGACGTCTCCTTGCAAGCTAGGAATCACGACTGTGTTTCCAGCGCGTGCCGACTGCCCGCTCTGTGGGAGCTGTCAACATCCGATAAAAAGCCACGCTTTAAAGACAGTGTTGGTGGCACCGCGGATTCCTCAAACCCTTACACCTGCTACTACAGACACCTGATTCAAGTTTTGGATATTGAAGGTAGCTTTGCAATTTGAGATGCTTTCCATTTGCTGAAAGGAAAACAGCTGGTTACGTAGAGTGGTACCTCGGATCCGCTGGGCTTGGTTTCAAGGCGTAGCATAAGACAAGAGCAGGCTGATCCCCTTGCTGAATCTACTGCGTGCAGCGCCCTCTTGGACATACGGCCAAGGCGGCAAAAAGTTCTGACTGACCCTCAGACTCAACATCTACGGTGCATTTGGCAGACTCAACATCTACTGTGCATGTCGCCACCACCCCCCGGCATTTGGCATCAGCCCATATCTCACGAGCTTGCTTAGGCCCACAATTCCTGCACATGTTTCATCACTGGGCTGCCCTCAGATCCCCGGCTAAAAGTTAAACTGCCACTACACACTGAAAAGCCAAAAGGCTAAGGAACGGGATGGGTCGGAACCACCAGGATCATTCCACCGCCAGACATGCCTTGCGCAATTCTGGGCTAGCGCCGGCGCATGCCGATGAGCGAAGCCCCGCGCCAAATCCCCCGCTGCGTCGGCTCGACGGTAACCCACGGAAAGCTTACCCTTGCCTGGAACTAGGACCCCGGGAAAAAAGCTAGTGTATTAAAAGGGGAGCTAATTCTGGGGAAGTACCCTGGAGCAGACCATGCAGATAGGCGTCACTGAAAAAAACATGGCCCCCAAGGCATAGCCTTCACGCAGGAGATGCGGTGCCAAGAGATGGAGGGCACGAGGAAGGCTTGCCCAGCAACGGCAAGCTCCTTTGCGGTTGCTGGCAGGAACTCTTGGGTTTCCAGTCAACAGATTGCCCCAAACTTGGTTTGTCTTGTGCAACAGGCACGTTTGAACAGCTCTGAAAGGGGCAGGGTTGTCACCCAAAAAGGCCATGGTTGCAAGTCTCCGAGCGGATTGTCGCCTGGCTTACTCACCCTCGGTTGCTTTCTGCTCCCCTGCCCAAAGTTTTTTTTTAGTGGTTCAATTCGGAAAACCCATTCGTTGGCAAAAAGTTGTTAAAGTCTTAATATCCAAGCAAAATGCACCAAAGACTTACCGGGTACCCGATCGATCGATCGACGGATGCCTCGGCTCCGCGGCACGCAGAACGCGGACGGCGCCGCGCAGCCGTGGCGCCAAGGAGCCCGGGTGGGAAGGAAATGAAGATTCCATGAAAGGAGACCATGACCAAATCGGAAATGCAGGGTTTATAGGGCTTATTCCCAGGAAATGGATGGTTTGTAGGGTCATTCTCTTGAAATGGATGGTTTGTAGGGGTCATTCCCAGGAAATGGACGGTTCATAGGGGTCATTCCCTCAGAACCAGTTTTGGTTAGATTCCCTGAAAGGAATCCAATATCCGGAATGGATGGGTCTTCTTCTTTTCCGTGTCTCATTTGGCCATGAAGTCCAAGCGGCATCAAAGCCCAAAAGAAACTTGCTGGACCGAGCTCGGGGCTTCTCTTGGGTACATGGCCAAACCTAAAACTTGGGCCTGGGCCTGGCGCGGCCGCTCGAGTGTGGCTCGGCACAGGCGGTGCCGCCTTCTCTGTGGCTTGTTTTGGTCAAGAGGATCAAGCATGAGATGATGGTTGAGTTTAGGGTTAGTTCGGGGTTTCAGGGTTGTTCAGCCTTAGCTTTGAACTCCATTGAAACAGAACTCATGAAGCAGCACACCCCACGTCTTGGATGCTTCTGCGCTTGATAGAAAGGGGGTTATGTTTGCGCATGGCTGGAGATGCGTGGCTCAGTGCCAGGCTTCCTGGCTGAGTTGTGGCTCTGTACTCCACTGCAATGGAACCCAAGAGTCCCAGAGTGTGCCCGCTTTTCATCAATAATGGAAGTGGACAGCCGGATTTTGGAAGACTACTGTCTTCTCAGAAAGACCCTTGTCTACTTGCACGATTGTTGGAAAGAGGGTAACTGACAATGCTGTCACAATGCGAAATCCCTTGCACACCTGCGCATGCAACACATGGGTGTTGCCCAACATGGGAGCCCCTTAGTCAAATGGCTCTAAGGGCAGGCCAGAAGAAGCAATCAACAATGTGTGGTGGGTTCCGGAATTGCTCACCTGCCCACCTGATTTTGTTTTTGCCACATTGGCCACTCCAAAGAAGCGGTTCCCGTTCACCATGATGCCATGGGTGAAGCCCAAAAAACCTTTTGAGTGTGTGTGTCTTAAAGCGAGCCCTTAAAACATGGATTCCCAAGAAAACATATCTATGTATATATGTATGTAGTATGTATCAATAAAAAAATACAATACAAATAATTAATATGAATAGCAATCAACACAATGATAACAGTAACTATAGCAGTTGCAGCACTAGCCAACATGATCCATCAACATGGAAGGAAGTCTCAGGAAGGGGCCTTCATCGCCTATGATTCGTGCAGAACACTGGCTAAACGAGCCCGTGCCATGAGCCAAATGTTGGTCGTGCTACGGGGATTTGGTGCACAAACACCTTGATCTAATGGCAACTTGGAGTGCCCGCACGTTGGTTTTCCATTATTTCCCATCGTTCTGTTCTGAAGCCACCCACATTCCTGGGATTTTCAAGATTCGTCTTCTGAAAAGAAGGATGCCTAGAGTTACATCTAGGCAACCAACCAACCAACCAACCAACCAAGCAAGCAAGCAAGCAACCAACCAACCAACCAACCAAGCAACCAACCAACCAACCAAGCAACCAAGCAACCAACCAACCAACCAACCAACCAACCAAGCAAGCAAGCAAGCAAGCAAGCACCCAACCTGCCAGGCCAAAATCTTGCTCATCTGGGCTGTCCGCTTCAGATCCCCTGCCAAACGTCTCCAACTTTTAGTGAGTCAAATGGAAACGCAACCACTCAACCAACCAACAACCTCAAAACCTAAGTTGAACCAACAACCTAAAAACCTAAGTTGAACCGGATGCTTGGGACACCGAGTCATGCCATTCCCAACGAAAAAGTTTTCGGCTTGGTGCCCCGAGCCCCTGCAGCGGCTCAGGATCTCGTTGAACTCGCGCTCGAAGGCCCAAACCTCCCATGGCGAAAGACAGCCAGCTGAACACCACCTCATGCGTTGGTCTGGGAAAACCATCAGTTGACCAAAGCTTGGCTGCTGTAACGACCCCCCTGCAAAAAGCTGTTGACTTTTTGGGGGTTTTAGTGGAAAACCCTTGATTTCCCAAAAAAGGTTAAAGTCTGAAGATCCGTTGCCCAATAGCAGTCAAGAAAGACAACACGGAAGCCGGTTTGGGGGGTACCCTTGAAAGGAACCACACCCTTGTTTTGTGGCAAAAAAGGACGGTTCTCATGGCGCCGGTTCTTGTGCCGCACGATTGACACAACTCGCACATCTCGCAAAAAGTAGATGATGATGACTCGGTCAACTGGGGACCTTCTGTCAGGCTATACATATGAGTCATAGTCAAAACCCGGCATTGAAATGGTCTACCCAGAACCATGTAAAGAATTCAGAAGGCGGCCGCAGCTTTGTTTTAAATAATATTGTGGCTCATATGTGCAGACGTGTCAAAAGGCTTGGGCCAGCTGCTCCAAGACCAAGTTGCACTTGCACCTGCGTGATAGCGGCAAAACTGCACGACGTACACGGCCACGCGCAAGCTTCGTCTTATTCAGGAACCGTTGCTTTTGTCTCACCTGTCCAAAGGGGCATGACCTATCGTATCCGGTACACTTGCTTTCATGTTGGGTGATTGATCTTCATTCCAATACAGTTTTCTTTGATCCAACATTTGAGGACAACCTAAACATTGATGTTGGCTTATTTGGACATCCAGAAGATTACATCTCAATATTCCTGCATGTGGGATCATGTCCATAATGATTTCAGGAATTTTACAGCTAATAACCTTTGCTAAGCAATCAATGATCTTTGTCATGTCATCTATTTAGCTTCTTGGAAGTCTTGTTTGGGGACATCATATGCATACTGTAGGTTTACAAAGTGATACACAAGCTTATTTTACAGGAGCTACAAAGTTAATATCTTTACCAACTGGTACAAACATAGTTAATTGGCTTTTTGCACATCTCTCCAATCCATCTTTATTACAACTTAGAATTGCTTATGTCTTATTATTGTGTGGTTGTGTCTTTTGTGTTTGTGTTTGTTGTGGTTGTGTATGTGTGTGTGTGTGCGTGCTTTTGTGTATGTGTGTTTTTCGTGCGTGTGTTTTGTTTGTGTGTGTGTGTGTGTGCTTGTGTGTGTATATATATATATGTACATGTTGTGTGTATCACTCGCCAAGCCTTTCTGAGCCGCAGAAAGCGATCGCTCGCTTTCTGCCAGCATCCAAAATGGGTTGCCCTGGCAGGTGGACACGCGAACTAAAACCCCGCGGCTTCGTGGCGATGTAACATTTTTGCCCATACCCAGATCACTGCATTGATCACAAACGCAAAAGTCTTGACGGCGGCTTGGCAATGACCGTGGTGCGGTTTCAGCCGGACATTTGGCAAAGTGCTTTCCTTTGTTCACAGAGCTCCAACAATCCTGGAAGCTGACAAAGGGGGTGGAAAACTGCCAGATTCCCAACCATGTCCAAACTGTTGACTGTCCACTTCAGGAGGGTGCGGGAAGGGCAGTAGGTCACCAAAACACCCTCTTGTTGTCAGAGCGAGACAAATCAACAAGAAGGTGTCCCATGACTGTCTGCTCATCAGTCTTCATCGGCTTTGCAATCAGTGGCCGCTGCGGGAGGTCTTTTGCTATTTGTACAAGGCTGACAGGGTGCTCTCCGCCCAACTCGCGCGTCTGCTCGACATCTGTATCTGTGAATCAGTGGGCGCCCTTGCTCGGTTGGCATTGGCGGATTTTGTCCACCCACCATTTTGGAGGTAGCAAGTTCACCTCCATCCCTGCTCTTCCAGGCGTTGCGCCATAGGAAGAAGCCAGGAAGAAAAAAAAGAAACATCCACGGCAAAACCCTTCTAATAAAAAAGGGAAGAAAAAAAAGGCGCGGCGGCGGTTGCGACCATTGAGCCTAGCATCTATTGTCCAGTCCCCGGCCCCCGGCCCAAGGCCCCTTGTCCCCTTGGCCCCCCATGGCCTTGGCCGGTTCGCCCGCCAGACCCGCCAGGCTGGAGACCTCAGTCGCTGTCGCAGGTTCGGTCAAGTCAGGATGCGTGGAGCTGGCTCGAATGGCCATGGGTCAAAATCCAAATCGTACCCCGGTGAACATCCGATTCAATCCCCACTAGAATAGGTTCTAAGATGGGTGGTGAATTCACCTACCAAAATGGTACCATTGGTATTGCCCCACAGCGAAATGGACACCAAGATGGCAGGATGGAAACGAAAGGGGCACCAAAATGGCCGGCAGAAGGAACCAAGATGGCCCCACAAGGTGCATGGAACAAATGGAAACCAAGATGGCAGGATGGAAACTCCACTCCCTCAGGCTAGCCGGAAGCTCCAATTGGCTATGGAACCAAGTCTTCCATTTCGGGGTCTTTCAGACGAAAACCTGGCGGTTTGCGCCAGCTGCTTAATTTTGAGCCTTGCGGTACGCAAACTGTGACACATCCCCCCTACCTTAAGGGGGAGAGGGGGTCCTCCAATTCCATTCATTTCGTCCCCAGGAACAAGGGACCATGGAACCATACATGGCATTCCAGGTCTTTACCCCTCTCCAGTTCCATTTTTAAGGGCCAGGGATTGCTTGAACCCCCCTAGACCGGCCTCCATGGCATCGTAGCGCGTCCAAAGCCCATCCCCATCTCGGTAGGTGGGCACGCCGCTCTCCTAATGTCCGGAAGCGGAAGGACTTCAAAACTGGAACCAGCCCCCAGTCTGAACTCCTTGAGGGGACTACCTGGGCTGCCCTAGTACTTTTATCTTGGGCTTCGAGAGCCCAAGTAGAAACACCACCAATATGTTCCGCATCTAAAGACTTCAAGGGCCCAGTGTCACACGCTTCGCTCAGAGAATTGGATGAAGTGACTGTGCCCTCAGGAAGCACTTCACAGAAAATTCACATGGCGTACTCTAAGTCAAGCATTGTTCAACCAGCCCCACCATCAACATGTCGCCAATATAATTCTATCGAAATCCACCCTGCCAGAGTGTTTCACCCCCGGCTTGGTGCATCTGCCCTTGTTGTTTGCAAGACTATCGCCTTTGCCAGTCTGAGCACCTGCCTGGGTTCCAGGCAAAAGGAGATAACGTGAGCAAACTGGTTGGGTATGCCGTGCGCTGTATCCAAACCCTGTCAGCGAGCTTCGAGGTTGCACGTTTCTCTGGGAAGGATGCGGATGTATCTTTGAAAAACAAAGAGAGTGAGAACTAGCATTGTTCCACAAGCATCTATGAAACATCCCGTGCCATTTGCTTGTTTGGGAACCTTTTTGGGATACTGAAAGGAGACCTAAAGGACACCAACCCATAATTCAGGGTTCCCCACTTTGAGACGAATCCCACTCATCCAGTTTGCATCAGGGCTGTGGGAATCGACCGCTTCGGTGATACAACCAGAGACTAAACCCCCCGCATATAAAGGGGAGATTAGTGGCGAAACACCCCAAGTCATCCCACGACCCTGATTCGCATATTTTCCCGCCACAAAAGGCAAGCTCCCGACTTCATTGCAACGAAACTCTTCCAATCTGCAATATGGGTACGGGTCAAAATCAACCCACCAGAGCACCACAGGTTTTAGTCCATGTTTCCATGTCCAAGGGCAAGCCATTTTGGGGTCACCCTATTTTTGACAACCACAGCCATCATAAGTTCCCGCGTTCCCGCAAGCCGAACTTACCCCTTAAAACTCCAAGCCCTGGGGAAGTTAATCTTTTACAGACATATAGCCCATGTTACCCAAAAAGTTGAAAAGTTGTGCTTTTTAAGAGGTAAGCGAAGCAACAAAACAAAGGGAAAACTGCGTCGAGCCGAATCGCTCCTTGGAGATCCCTGCGCCCGTAAAGGCTAAGACCTGGCCGCCGGAGAGCAGCTCAGCCTGGGCTCTGGCAAGACGGCGGTAAGCTCTGGGCTTAAGGGAGGGGTCGGGGGGGGGGGGCAACTCCATTTTGGAAATGGAACCATTAATGGAATTCCAGGAGTCAATTCCATTTTTCTGGTCCGCAAAAGAGAAAATGGAACCCTGAATGGAACTCCATGGGTCACCCCCTGGCCCAAATCCATTTTTAAGGGCGGGGATGGTTGCAACATCCACTGGCCCATAAGGATCCCCGGATCGCAGGAAAAAAGCCACAGACTGAAGCTTTCAAAGGCGCGACCCAAATGAGCAACATGCAACTTCTAATATGGAAGGGCGGTTTTGCCGAAAGCAGGGGTAAAACAAATTTGACATTGGCAGAGCAACCGTCAAATAATCAAGAAGGCAATGAACATTTTACTTCCAGAACATTCGGGCATGCGAGACTTGAGTGTCTTGACACATCACTGATCCCCAGCCAAGCCATCCAATGCAGTATAAATATATATATATATATACCTGCTGCCCCAAAAACTGTTGAATGTGATTGTTTTTCAGGAAAATGATCGTTTTGCCTTCTTGGTGTTGAAATTTCAACCCTGGTGCTACAAAAACCGTTCGGGCTTGCGGAGCAGACCGAACCTTATGCGCCTTATGTTGCTGATGTCGCTTGCTGGGAATCCATCGATTGCGTTAGTTTTGCATAATCCGTTGCATGTTTACGTTCTTTTTGCGTCCTGGCATGGGCCGTGCCTAGGATTTGGTGTTGGAAATACCGTTCGTAAAGCGTTCAAAACCCGTTCGCAAACCGTTCGCGAACCGTTCGCATGTCGTACATTTTACGCAAAACTAAAAATGTGTGTTGCGAAATCACCTTGGTGTTCTAAAAGCCGTTCTGGTGCCAAAAAGCCCGATCTGGTGCTCAATTGTTCGGAAAAACATCATTTTTCCAAGTGGTGCTGAAAAAAGAACATTTTAGGGGCCTCATGTATGTATATGGTACACCCCCCCGTGGACCCTGGTTTGGTGCGTTTGACCTGTATGTTCCAGTGTTCTATGCCTTTTTTAGCTTCTTGGATTTGTGTCAAAATTGGGGGGGGGGGTCATACGTGTATATGATACGCATGCATGCATACAGATGTGATAAAAATCTGACAGAGTTTGAATGCATCCAAGAGTACAAGAACAACTCAGACATTCTTTTCAAATTCTGGGATTCAAGATTCAAGAATGTGAGAACATATGTTCTGGGAATCTTGAATCTTGAATCCCAGAATCTGTAAAAGTTTTATTTTATATTTTTTTTAATGTCTGGATTCAAGATTCAAGAATCTGAGAAAATATGTTCTGGGAATTTTGAATCTTGAATCCCATATTTTGTTTATATTTAAAAAAGAAAAAAAACGTGTTGTCCCAATACTCTCGGTGTTCAATAAGATTCTCGGAAACGTTTTCCGTGAAACATTTCAATCTCGAATCTTCAATCCAGTGGGAAAATATGTTCGAGGTGATAGAACAACTTGAACATTTTTAGGGGTTTTCTCAGGAAAGTGGTTGTTTGTGCACTCCTCAATATTGAATCCCCAATCCAGTGATAAATCACTTTCAAGTGTTAGAAGAACTTGAATGTTATTTGGGTTTGGCCAGGATTGACAATTCTCAGGAAAGTGTCCGATAGTAACATATTTTCAAGTGCTTAGCGATCCAGTGGACACACTTTCAAGTTATTGCTTAGACAAATGTTCAAGTGCTTTTGGTGAGCTTCATGCCAGCTATGTTCCTGTTGACCCCTTTCCAGGAGGTAAACAAAGGCAGGTGTAACGCTCAAAAACACTGTGGATCATTACAGGCACTATATATATGTATGTACGTTCACACACCGTCCCCCACCCTCTTGAACTACCTGTCCACATTTGCTCATCAACTACCTCCACCTTTTGAGATAGAACTAATTATGTTTCCTGTGCAAATAGAACTTTAAATACAACGGTTTAGCTAGAATCCCTGTGTCGAGATAGTTTTAGATTTTGAACCTCTCTTCCCTTGAAATGTCCCTTTCGAACACCGTCTAACAAGTTCCATATCGGACCTTTCTTATGCTACAAAAGGGCCAGAATGTAAATAACACAAATTGTATTTTGCAGAAGTCCCTTAAACGTGTAGCCATATTTAGTATTAATCATATTTGAGATGTAGTCTCTATTCACTTGATATTATCCAAAGCAAATTGAGTTGTGTTTGTATTAGATTATATTTAACACTTGGATTATATTTGAGAAAAAACTTCCATCTAGCTTCTTGTGTTCTAGATTAGTTGGAGTTTACTCGAAATAGTTGTACATTTTCATGTAGCTCCTATTTGGAAGGATTTGCTTGTTTCAGCTGTAATTGAACATAAACACATTTTTGAAACGTATAACTTACCAAACTATATTCAAAACTCCAATTCGAGTTGAAGTAAAATCCTATTTATTTGGAATGGGTATCATACTAGGACATTGTGGAGGACTCCGGGCTCCAAATTATCAGGCTTTGGGGACCCACAATTGGAAATGTCGAGAATATAAATTTTGAAATTCTAGATTTGCCATCCCCAAAAGGCAGTAAAACCAGGGTCCACGGGGGCGGGGGGGGGGAGTTGCACAATATACATAGTACATGTGCATGTGTGTGTGGCGTTTTGTGCAGATGGTCATCTACACCTTCCTCTGGACCCCCGCACAACTCCTGGCCAGTTGCAAATCCGCAGGATATCAGCTTTGAAGAAGGTCACGGACAATACGGAGTCTGTGAAGACCCAGACAGCGCATTGCAATGCGCAATGCGTGTGCAACAGGGCTGCATGTGCATTTGCTTGTGCTTGCTTGCAATCCAAACCAACCTCCCGCCAATTCCAGTGTCCAGCCACATTCATGTAAATATACTCAGTATACTCATCCTCTCTGTATACCTGGCATCAGGGGAATCTACTTTCCGTTGAACTGCGGTTGGCCACGGGCCTCTCAAAAGCAAGATACTAATTCGTAGTGACAAGTTCGACCCACAAGGATTGATTTGAAGACCCCAAACATAAGCCAACCCTACATACAGGCCAAATTCAGCCCTTAGGCGGGAACCAAGACCAAATTCAGCCGAGAAAGGGGAAAGCCAAGGGCTCCTCTTGGTTGTTGCGGGACCGCCGGACTTTCCCTTCAAGTTGATCGATGAAACCCGGTGGCTTCCGTATGCCGGGAAATGGAGGTTCCAAACAGGCGTCTCTTTTTTTGAGCTTGTACCCCTTTTGTTGGTGCTAAAGGGAAGCCCAAAAGGAAAACCCCCAATCTGGGGTCCAAATCAAAAAAAAGGACTGACCCAAAAGGGACCTCCCAAAAGTTGCGATTTGACTGGTGGCGTCCATTGAGAATGCCAGGATCCAAAAAGGGGAAAATTGCAAATCCCAAATCTAGGTCCAAACCCTAAATAATTTTCTGCAGGGGGGTCCAAAGTCCAGAGAACAAAAACAACTCAGGCCCAAATGTTGCTGGGATTTCTTTGGACATGGAGGAAACCCTCAAAATGTCAAAAAAACTCCCCCCCCCCCATTTTTCAAATATCCCCCCTGAGTTTTTCAGACATAGAAACATAAGGAGAAAAAACAAGAAAACGGTTGCGGGCGTTGGGCGCCGGGAAATTTCTTTTTGCCCAGGCGCGGCCGCCGCCAGGGGCGAGCAAAAGGGCCCCAGGCCCCGCGGCAGTTTGGTGCAGTTCCCGTCCGGCTCCGTCAGCTCCCACCTGGGGCCGGGTGGGGTGGGGTGAGATGGGGAAGGGTGGGGTGGGGCGGGGCGGGGCTGGGCGGGGTGAGATGGGGTGGGGTGGGGGTTGGGAGTGGGGTGTGGGTGGGGCGGGGTGGGGCGGGGGCGGGGCCGGGGCGGGTGAGATGGGGGTGGGGTGGGGTGGGAGTGTGGGGTGGGGTTGCAAGAGCCCCAGTGCACAGCCCAATTCAAGATGAACGGGTTGAGTGAGTCAAAAGATGAGATGCTGGGAGTTTGAGGGCCCCAGTTTGATATTCTTGGGCGCGCCCTGTTTGGTTTCCCATTGGTCACGCAGGTATCTTTTGAACAAGTAAGAAAGGGGTTTTTGTGTATCAAATTAAGTTGATGGAAGGGTAGCCACGGCTTTGCGGTCGGTTGAGTTTGACCAAGGACCAGCAATTCCAGGAGTCGGACATGATGGATTCCGGACCATCGTCGGCACGTTTTGGTGGGTGGCTCATGGGGTCATACCAGTATGATGGTAAGTCGTAAGTGACCCATATTTTGTCGACCTGGTTGGTGTGGCCTATGGGCCCTAGGTTTCACGTCGTGGCCAGACAAGGATTGTTGAACAAGGCCCAAAATGTTTGTCCTATGTGCCAAGCTTGAGCTTCTCCGTGGCTTGCGTTCTGCCAAGGCCTGTACCAGGAGTTCGAGAAGAACCTGGAGCATGTCGAGAAAGACGAGCGCCATGCGCCGACGTTCGTAGTTTACTTTGCGATTGATCCTCAAGAAGCCTTCCGCCGGATGTTGCACCGTGCGAAGGTGGAGCATCTTCGTCATTTCGAAAAGGAGGTCCCGCTGAAGTACCTGACCCTCTTGCGTAGGCGTTTTTGTGGGGGCGTCTACAAGTTTTTGACCTAGTTCTTTTTCCGTCGCTTGTCCTGCTGTGTGAGTTGGATTGCCTTTTCCATGTTGCGAGACTCGAGCCGCCGGCGAGGATGTATGAGGAGCTCTACCGCCACAGAGTTAATTCTGATGTGATCGTCATCGAAGCTGGGCAACCGAGTGATGAAGTTCAGCGTGATGTTGCCGATGAGTTTGAAAAGCGACGTGAGCAATGTCAGAGGGTGCTGAGGGATAAGGGCTTTGCTCCAAAGCTCTTGGACGATGTCATCCGGCAGTTCAGACGCCGCTCTCCGCAGGCATTTGCATAGACTTGAATCCCTTGCCTCAATCGTCTTGAGCAGAGGGCACCTTCCGAAACCATTCCGGTATTTGCACAGTAGTTGGAAATTTGGCTACGCAAATTTACAATCTCGGAAGTTGCTCTTGCACTTTGACAGAAGACATGGCAAACAGCTTCGGGGATCTCACCCTCAAAAACCTCAAAAGGTCGGCGCGCAAATTTGGATCCCTCTCCTCATTGTGTATGCTTGAAGAATGGGTTAGAGAAAAACATAGCCACGCCACTGGAGCGATCCATTTTTGCGTCATTTAAACATGTACAGTAGCTTGCAGTAGGTTAGGTCTGGATTTTGCGAGACACCAGCACGACCAGTGTGCTTAGGGCTTTTTGGGGACGTCATTTTGATGGGTGTCGGGCTAGCCCGAATCCAAAAACGTCCCACTTACTGGAAAAGGCACGGTGGCTCGAAGCTGCAAGGCAATTCGAGCGCGAGCAACAGCTTCGCGCGGTTGTTTTTTTGCTAGGCAGGGGCAGCGGCCGATGTTCTAGTTGCTCTGGTTGCTGACGATCAAACGATCAACATGTTTTGCGTCCAGCAATGTGTTTTAGCGTTTCAATGTGCAACAGAAGGGGCTAGCCACGGAGCATGGCCACTGCTGCCTGCAAGAAATGTGCCTCGATTTAGAGGCGAACCTTCATGTTTTTTGGGAACCACCCAAAGGTGGTTGACATCTGTGGATGAGGCAATCGATCAGGCACTCACCCTACCCCACCCCCGCCCCCGCCCCGCCCCCGCCCCACCCCGCCCCACTTGGGTTGGCCCGGTCCAAGAGAATCATTTTGACAACATCTGTTTCCCGAGAGCTTTGAAAAAAGACCGTCGTCGAGGATATTTCACGGCTTCCTTTTGACCAACGAGGCCTCCCATCCGGCCCTCAGCTTCAGTCCATCGGTAAGTCCTTGGTGTTGAAACCCAAGGGGAATGCCGACCCAACAGTAAAGCTTCCGAGAAGCTACCTGCCGGCAAAAACAAAACAACTCTCTCCCGGAGATCCTGAAGAACATAACTGTCAAAATGACTCGTTGAGCCTGGTTCCATAGTGGGGGGGCGGAAGCAGTTGAAACGCAAATCATGGGCCTTTTGCCGCCGAAAGGCGGCCGGACAACATCGAGAAATAGGTCGGATTTCCCATGCTAACCCAATCGAAGCTTGAGCAGCTACAGCAATCCCTCTAGATTCATGTCAGTGCATTAAACCAAGTCGAGTTGTTAAGGCCCTTTGAACAAATGTGACAACCGACGCATTCCCATGTACAGTCATTGTTTTCGCCAGATGTGGGCTGTCCTGGATGTTCATCAGTCCAGATGCCTCAGCCACTTCGACGCAGCGTCCGACTTAGGCGCGCCCTGCTTGTCGCCCTTCTTCTACATGTTGTCGCTCCAGAAGCGTATCTGGTCTATCATTTCAGATAGGCTCATTGCCTGGAATCTGCGGGCCTTCACCTTGAGATCCTGGTGCCCACTCCGCTTCATGAACTCCTTAATAGTCGCCTGTTGCCTTCTGAGAATACACAGTCGGGATGGTTGCTGAGCTGGTCCCACTTATCCGTCACCGGACTCCCCATGCCATCATATCATTCATGATGGTCTCCAGCTCGACTGAGCTGCTCTAGAAATGGCATGATATTGCAGCTTGACTGTATCTTATGTCGTGCACCGTCATCATGCAGTCCAACTCTTGACGCATTCCCATGCGCCTGGGGCGGGGCGGCGGGGTGAGATGGGGTGGGGCGGGGGTGGGGCGGGGTGGGGTGGGAGTGGGGTGGGGTGGGGCGGGGTGGGCGGGGTGGGCGGGGGTGGGAGTGAGGCGCGTGGTAAGATGGGGCGGGTGGGGTGGGGTGATTCAAATTACACAGCCCGTGGGGTGGGGTGGGGTGGGGTGGGGTGGTTCAAATTACATAGCCCCTTTATTACCCAACATCAACAAAACAACATGGCGAATATCCGTACCGATTTCCGGCTGCAACTGACTTACCTGATCGATTGCCTCATCCACATGTCAACCGCGTTTGGGTGGTTCCCCAAAAAACATGAAGGTTCGCCTCTAAATCGAGGCACATTTCTACTAATCAGCAGGAATTGCTGATCCTTGGTCAACTCAACCGACCGCAAAGCCATGGCTACCCTTCCATCAACTTAATTTGATACACAAAAACCCCTTTCTTACTTGTTCAAAAGATACCTGCGTGACCAATGGGAAACCAAACAGGGCGTGCCCGAGAATATCAAACTGGGGCCCTCAAACTGCCAGCATCTCCTCCTTGGACTCACTCAACCCGTTCATCTTGAATTGGGCTGTGCACTCGGGCTCTTGCAACTTGGGTTGGCCAGTTTAAGGGACGGCCGGTCCAAGAGAATCATTTTGACAACATCTGTTTCCCAAGAGATATTTCACGGCTTCCTTTTGACCAACGAGGCCTCCCATCCGGCCCTCAGCTTCAGTCCATCGGTAAGTCCTTGGTGTTGAAACCCAAGGGGAATGCCGACCCAACAGTAAAGCTTCCGAGAAGCTACCTGCCGGCAAAAACAAAACAACTCTCTCCCGGAGATCCTGAAGAACATAACTGTCAAAATGACTCGTTGAGCCTGGTTCCATAGTGGGGGGGCGGAAGCAGTTGAAACGCAAATCATGGGCCTTTTGCCGCCGAAAGGCGGCCGGACAACATCGAGAAATAGGTCGGATTTCCCATGCTAACCCAATCGAAGCTTGAGCAGCTACAGCAATCCCTCTAGATTCATGTCAGTGCATTAAACCAAGTCGAGTTGTTAAGGCCCTTTGAACAAATGTGACAACCGACGCATTCCCATGTACAGTCATTGTTTTCGCCAGATGTGGGCTGTCCTGGATGTTCATCAGTCCAGATGCCTCAGCCACTTCGACGCAGCGTCCGACTTAGGCGCGCCCTGCTTGTCGCCCTTCTTCTACATGTTGTCGCTCCAGAAGCGTATCTGGTCTATCATTTCAGATAGGCTCATTGCCTGGAATCTGCGGACCTTCACCCCGCTTCATGAACTCCTTAAAGCAGTATAGTCGCCTGTTGCCTTCTGAGAATACACTGTCAGGATGGTTGCTGAGCTGGCGAACACTTAGGGGGTCCCACTTATCCGTCACCTGTTGGACTCCGCCATCATATTATTTATGATGGTCTCCGGCTCGACTGAGCTGCTCTAGAAATGGCATGATATTGCAGCTTGACAGTATCTTATGTCGTGCACTGTCATCATGCAGTCCAACTCTTGACGCATTCCCATGCGCCTGGGGGAGTGGGGTGGGGTGGGGCGGGGTGGGGCGGGGGTGGGAGTGGGAGTGGGGTGGGGTGGGGCGCGTGGGGCGGGGTGAGATGGGGTGGGTGGGGTGGGGTGGGGTGGGGTGGGAGTGGGGTGGGGTGGGAGTGGGGTGGGGGGGCGGGGCGGGGCGGGGCGGGGTGAGATGGGGTGGGGTGCGTTCCAACTTTCCTTGTGAATTGCCACATTGAATTTTGAAACAACCGAAGCAATCGACACGTCTCGTCCGTTCCAACTTTCCTGCGAAGTGGGTGGGGTGGCGGGGTGGTGTGGTGGGTGGGGTGTGGTGGGTGGGGTGTGGTGGGTGGGGTGTGGTGGGTGGGGTGTGGTGGGTGGGGTGTGGTGTGTGGTGTGTGGTGTGTGGTGTGTGGTGTGTGGTGTGTGGTGTGTGGTGTGTGGTGTGTGGTGTGTGGTGTGTGGTGTGTGGTGTGTGGTGTGTGGTGTGTGGTGTGTGGTGTGTGGTGTGGTGTGTGGTGTGTGGTGTGTGGTGTGTGGTGTGTGGTGTGTGGTGTGTGGTGTGTGGTGTGTGGTGTGTGGTGTGTGGTGTGTGGTGTGTGGTGTGGGGTGTGTGGTGTGTGGTGTGTGGTGTGTGGTGGGGTGGGGTGGGGTGGGGTGGGGTGGGGTGGGGTGGACCGGATCTACTCTGCGGATTGAATGTGCATTTACAAAGAAATCAAAAACCATCCATTACAAGATGTGGGATCCCCTCCCTTAACAAACTACCCCAAACATCTGTAGCGGCCTTGCTTAAAGGGGTCAAAAGCAAGTCGAAACTTACAAACTGGCTGCGTCAAACAAGCTACCAGTTCTGAGACAGGCTCAACTATCAGGGGTTGCTGCCAATCAGAGTCCTGGGTTCCAACAAATGGGTGGGACAACGCGCCGAAGCCAATTCATGGTGCACTCTTAGCTCCCACTGGAGCAACCCCAGTTTGACCCCAAGTTGCTCAGCAGAATCCCGCGAAGCGACGGCACGGACCGCGGGTTTTGGCTCCATTTCGGGGGCACCCGATGTTTGACCCACACCCAGTTGAGAGCGGAAAGGGGGGAAGCATTCATGAGGAACACTCTGCATGGAGGCAATCACAGGGCGCCCTACGTCTTGTGTTTGGGGGGGGAGCTTAGCTTCGCATGTTTGGTTTCAGAGGCAGGAAACCCCGTTGGATGGGAACAAGGGGGCACACGTAAGTAGACAACTGCTTGTGCAATGGTTGCCGGACGATCATCCGCCCCATTTCGATCTACAAGGGTCACAAGCTTTGTATCATTTCGGACCACACAACGCCACGAGCCATTTATGACCATGACCAATTGGAATAAGCCAAAACGCGTCCCAAAGCTATTCACTTTGATTCTACGATCAGTTTCTCATACAGTATGGGTGCTACTGCGAGCTAAAAAAATGTTTGGATTGCGATTTTCTCGTGGAGTTCACCTGTTTCTCACCCTGTAGGTTTTTCTTTAGTACTCATTTGGGACTCTTTTAATACCTTGGTTGACTTTGGAAGGGGAGCAAACATTTTCAAGTTTTAGTAGTTAAGTGGTTGGATTTGAACCACTCAACCACAATAAGCAAAAATGTGAAATGTTTCCCAACAACAACCATGCAGGAGTGGATCCACAAAAACCACATCCAAGCCGTTTCCTTGATTTCCAGGTGTCGGGCCCTCTTGGAAACATCTTCGTGGTGTTTTCTTCTTTTTTTTTCCGGGGAGGGGGGAAGGGGGGGTATGCCATGTTTGGAGGCTTTTGGGTCTCATGGTAGGCCTCACACCAGGTAGTAAGACCCTTTGAAGTCGTCGCACCCTAACCGCCCTCTCCAGGCCCCGCGCCGGGTCTTCCCCTCCACGGGCCGAAGCTGAACGCAGGCCTCCCCCTCGGAGTTTCTGGTGTTTCTCGGCTCAGCCGTATTGATGGTGAAATCCGATTTCCACACCTAAGCCCGGGCTTCTGATTCTGTTGGAACCATGGTTTCAACCATGGCTTCAACCACGGTAGTTGTTCAAACTGGTATTTACAGGGGACGTCGAATCATTCCAAGGTTCTCAGGTGGTGCGACATGGATTTCGTCCACAGCAGGAATGAAAATCCTCCAGAGAAGGTGTGGGGAGGGCGGATGAGAACCACAGATCACATTTGCAGATGCTGAATATGTGGAATGCAGACTGGTGAGCTCAAGTCGGCCGTCCAGCGGCACGCCTAAGTGCCAGCATGGCCTCAATCAACATGATGCAGAACACGTGTCCTTGTGCTTCCCTGGTAATGCTGACCTCGGATTAATACACAGGGGGTTGTTAATCCGGAGTCAACATTATCATGAAACGCAGACCTTTCTCTCAAGTTTAGAGCTTTCACTGGGAGAATTCGCACACAGCTTTTACATCTAGAGCTTCCAAACTGGATTCGTTAGACATCCAAACCTCGCATGCTTCCGGAAATCCAAGCGCAACTTTCCACGAGCGTGTCCTCACACTGTCTTCGCACCTTGGCATGGCGCTAACCCAGGATTACTATGTCAACCCCTGGTTGCTTGTTGAGGCGGAGCCCACTTTTTCTTCTTTTCCTTTTTATTTCGAGGGGGGAGGAAGTCACTCATCTTCATCCACGAGCTTGAATCCCAAATCAACTTTCGGAATCACAAAGTCAAAGAAACCGATCCCCGTCAGTCTTCATCTTCAGAGGCTCCCCTCATACCTTTTCAGGTGCTGAAGGACCCCATTCCCGGTGACGCCCTCATGAGGTACCAAGTGACCCCTCTGCGGCCTGGGATCCACACACTTCAATCCCTTGGCGAGTGATCCGGGGGTTCCCGACCTTCAGCTCCAGCCCAACCCGGCTTAACGCCTGGGGGCGGCTTAGGGGGAAAAGGAGGGGGGAAAAGGGGGGGAGGGAGGTCCAATAAGGTACAAACGAGGTCTTATGAGGGGCGTAAAGAGGGCTTATTTGACCTCCCTCCCCCTATGGTGGACACTTTGGCTCTAGTTTGCAACCTCCTTCCTTTTTTTTTTTTCTTCGGGGGTCTGGGTGCAAACTAGACCCTAGGTGTCCACCTCCCCCCCCCCTCCCCCCTCCCCCCCAGTCGCCGTCTCCAGCCGAGCCGCCAGCGCTTCGAGGCTCCCGTCGTGGTAGGCCAGCAGCCCCCCGTTGCCCAGGCCCAAGCCGCAGAGCCCCACCTGCCGCTCAGGCGAGCGAGCGGCGAAGGGCGAAGGAGGCGAAGACCGATTTCCAGAGGACAACCAACCAAAAGGACACATAAAACTGTTCTCAGGTTTTTTTTTGAACGGCTGCTAGGAGGAGCTCCTGTGCCAAGAAATGTTCTCATGTACTAGAATGGGCTTCTGGAAAAGCTGGAAGTTCATGAACTCAAGTGAGCTTTCGTTCAGTTTGGGCTGGTTCACAATTGACAAGGAAACCAGAATGACTACGGCACATTGGAATCCTTGGAAAGCACGGCAGTCACACCCTCAAGTCTCAAACTCATGTAGCGCATCTCATGCCTTGTGAGGCCCGAGCATCGGCGAGTGTGTTTCATGAGTTGGCTTCTGATATTGACCACGCCTGAAACCAGCCCCAATAAAGGCAAACCATGGGAGCCGAACATGTACTCGTTACCCGAAGCCGTCAAACGTGGAGCGGGGTGCCAACGAACCATTGGGTCATTCAGGTCATGCCGCTCAAGCACAGGCATTGTATTTCGACGTTCATTCCAGCCGCAGGCGAGGGTAATAAGTGGCCTCACGCGGGCTTGAACGCAGGCGAGGGTAATGGTCGTCCGGCACCTCTCGTGGGCTTGAAACGTATGCCCCACCTGCGCGGAACAAAAGTCCACGGGAGGATTTGTCAAGGTACCGCCGGCATTGCGGCGGCGGCCAGGACCCACATAAGTTATGCCCCCATGGCCATATACTCACATCTCCAAGTGCGCGCCCTCTGCAGCCTCTGCGCTCTCTGAGCTCTGGACTGGTAGCTGCATGTATTGCACCTCATCGAAGTCATGAGACTTCGTGCCGCGCAGCTGGCTTTTCACCTGCACGCCATTGAGCTTGGCGCCCTTGCGGTAAACTGGGGGAAGCGGCTCGCAGCATTTATGGTTGCCTTCACCCCCGGGACAGCACACGTCATTGGGAGCCTTGCCTGTCACATTGGCACAGTTCGAGTTGAACTGGCACAAGGTCTTGTCGAACTTGTTCATGTTCGCCTCAACGTGGCTCAAGCTCCCTTTCAACATGAACTCCGGGATGTGGGGCACGAGCTGCTCTCGGAGCTCAATGCTGTGCCAGCTGCCCACGTTGAAGACCGTGATCACTTCCGATTCGTTGGATGTGTCCAGGTTCTGGATCCAATAGGCGCGGCCCACCGGGAAGTAGAAGAGATCCCAGGTCTGCAGATCCTCTTTCATTTGCTTTTTCGCCCCCTGGAAAAAATGAGAAAACATGTCCAGTAGTCATAGATCCCCTTTAAGACCAACAGAAATAAACATATCCAGTAGTCATAGATCCCCTTTAAAACCAACAAGGGATAGTAATAATGACAATAATAATAATACTAATAAAAATAATTTCAGCAAATGGAAGATCCTGCGTGTAATGCGTCTTGCTGTTCGCCTTCAGCGGGTAGTCCACCCCGGCGTAGCCGCCTTGCAGCTGCACACGCACGCTGCCCTTGGTCACGAACCTGGGATGTCCGCTTTCTGATCCCCCGCCAAAAGTTCAACTTTTAGTGGGATAAATCAAAACCCAACCACTCAACCACCTGAACACCCTTTAAAACAACACCCAAACGCCAACCACCTAGAAACCTTTAAACCAAAAACCAAACGCCAACCACCTAGAAACCTAATTAACAAAAAAACAAACTTTAAGACACAAGCCAAACACAAAGAACACCGGAGGCACTCGCACAAACAGCCGAGGCACATAAGCCCGTCGGCGTTGCTGAGCCAGAGCAGTCTTCGGAAGCCTCCCGCGGGTATGACCGCCCGCTCCTGGGACATGGTGGTGGCGAAGGGGAACTGCTGCGTGCGGATCTGGTAGAGCTTCACGCCCCTCTCCAAGGTCACCAGGTCTTCCACCTGAGGGCTACCTTCCAATTCTGAACCCAGGGATCCCAATCTTTTCAGGAAACCATGCAAAAACCTGAATAGACGGTGCTTGAAAAGAACGGCTGTGGGTCAAAAATAGGGTAATCCCAAAACGGCTTGCCCTGGTAAGTGGAAACATGGACCAAAACCTGCGGTCCCATTCCTGGTGGTTTTATTTTGACCCATACCCAAACCAAAAACTGCCACCTGGGTATGGGTCAAAATTGAACCACCGCAAAACCACAGGTCGTTTTCTTGGTTCCATTTGCCAGGGTTCCAGATTGGACACCTATGTTTGACCCACACTCACCTGAGGCTCTAAACCAAAGACTGCCAGAACAAGCGGGCCAAAAGCCATCAACATGGGTCTGTCTTGAAGGTTGCACCTGAAAAGCTGCTGGAAAAAACTGCTAGGTAAACCAAACAAACTGCCGGAATAAATTTGTCCCCTAAAGCCTTCAACATGACGGCCTGTCGGTTCTTTGGAGGCTACCCTTTGTTGGTGTTCAAGGGCAAGCAAAAGGGAAACCACCATTTTGGGGGTTCCCTAAAAAGCGACACTCTCCCTTGCATTTGTGTACTCTGATCGTTTCACAGGAGTTTGCGAAGTGTTTGGCTACGAGCTACAGTCCAAACTATCTCTCCCGCAGCTCCAGCTGCAAGAATCGCAACTTTGTAGTACACGTGTAGTGTGCGAAGTACGCTTCCGCAGCTCCAGCTTAAAAAAGGTGACCTTTTAGTGCAAGTGCAGTGCGCAATGCATACGCAGCTCCAGCTCGGAAATCGCAACTGTGTAGCCCAAGTCTAGTCCGCCAAGCACACTTCCGCAGCTGCAAGCGTACTATGCTCAGCATCTTACTTTTGGTATAATTATTATAATGATGCTTGTCTGCCTACATGAAGGGTATGTTTCTTTGGCTTCCCTACAATCAAGAAATAAATGGCACGCTTTTCTGATACATGATTCAAGGATAATTTTACTCCCATCTCCACGATCCTAAGGCTCCGCCAAAGCGGCCAAAGAGAGACCTACCGCTAGACTCTTCTCGTTCTGCAGGCTGGCTTTTCTTTGCTGGTTCGATAGGCAGGGAATGATAAATGGAATGACCCCAAGGAACACCATCCCCGATTTGGTTTCCTTCAAAAGAAACCCCGGAACGGTTCATTCCCAATCTTCGGAACCCTTCCCCTCCAACTGCTTAAGGTCCCTGGAAAAAATAGACACATTTCCAGTCGTGATAGATCCCCTGTAAAAAAAAGGGGGGACATTTGAAGTCGTGAAATCGATCCCCTTTAAAACCAAGAGGGGAGAAAGAATAAATTCCCTTCAGCCAATGGAAGCGACTCCTCTCGCGATCGATCGATCGATCGCTTGCACTCAGGTCCGCGGGCCACTCCCCACCTGATGCTCCACCGCGGCTGGCAGCACCCTGGTGCGGGGGATGCTCTGCAGGGTCTCGCTCCAGGCCTCGTAGCCCTCTGGCATCGGTGCCACCTGAGGCACTTGCACACCGATTCGGGATTCAAAACGTGGGGCCATTTCGATTGGATTCCGTTTGAGTCAAAATCACAATCAAAACCGATTCGGTAGAAAAGATGGTCGTAATCCCAGAACCATGCTTCAAGAATTCAGAAGGCGGATCTCCGCAACGATTTCTGGCTGGGGCTGCCCCTAATCTTCATCAATCCCCGAATCGGTTTTGAGCACGTGGCTCACCTGGGGGGAGTTGAAGTATGAGGGCTCAGCGCTGAAGTCCTCCGTAGCGTTCCGGAAGTGAGGCAGCCTTGCGACAACCCGTGCGAAAAATGTGTTGTTGCTTTTGTTTTTACTTGTCCAGCTCACTTCCGATCGAGTGGATTTCCCCCCCCCCAAAAAAAGAGAAGAACCACGGTCTGCTTTTATTTGCCACTAAACTGGTCCAAGCCCCAAAAGGTTAAAGTTTTCACTCAAGAGTCAAAAAGTCCAAAGATCCAATCTGAACCAAGCCGCCAAGCGGTCCGGTAGTCGTCCACGCTTACCCCCAGCGCCTGCGCAGGCACCTCGTCGGTGTCTTGGCCCGTGGCATTTTCCGAGGCCTGCCCCAAGGTCTTGTCCAAGTTGTGGGCGCCCGTGGTACCCGCCAGCGCACTGGAGAAGACCAGTACCACAGAGCAGCCGCCTTCGGCCTCGGGCGTGTTGCAGACCATGGTGTGCGCCCAGTTTCGGGGGAAGTACCACACGCCCCCGTAGGTCACATCAGCCCTTGGCTCGGCTGAAAAAAGAAAGGAAGAAAAAATAACGAGCCCTCGAAAAAGGTGAGAAAGAAAAACGGGGGGGGGGGTCAAGGCAAAATCCGACCGGTTCTAAGCAAAAAAACAAAGTCGAAACATCCAAACCAATAGCAGTCAAGATTCACCGACACTTCCCAGGGCATCCCTGTGGGGCTGGTCAGCCAGGTGGTGAAGTTTCCCTTCTCCACCCAGCCCCACTCGTCCGCATCGTCGTGCCAGTGAAAGGCGCGAACCACACCGGTACACCAGTTCTGCAACCGCGCATATTGCATGTTGCTCTTGCCATCCGCCCAAGTGCAGGCATTGGTCTGCCGGGCAAAGTAGCCGGAGTTGTTCTTCCCCTTGCCATCGTGATAGGTGAGGTTAGGGCAGATCTCCGGATACCAGTAGCCATCTCCCAAGGTCGAATCCGAAAAGGGGAGATGGTACTTGCCCAGGGCGCCTGCTTCCTCCAGCAAGCGTGGGTCACATCCGTTCGCCTGGGAGATGGGCACCTCCTTACTGCCAAAGGGCACCCCAGCCTGGGAGATGCCTTCGAAAGAGTTCACTGCAGCGAATTGAGCTGAGCCCATCATCGGCAGCACGAAGAGCAGCGCCATGGCAAGTGACATCGCGGCGGCAGGGGCAAGTGGGGCAAGGCACTTGGAGACTGTGCAGCTGCCATGGGATTTTGGATTTACTCCACTGGTCCTGAGGATCCAGCGTGGAATTCGTGCTCCTTTTCTATAAAGGGACCGAGTCCGGAACGTCAGGTTCCATGCAAAAAACATGTGGGAGGGCAGACCCCTCATCCCTCGAACTTCAACAACAAGCGGGGTGTCCCTTTAAAAGCCTTCAACCAACACGCTCCCAAAAAATTGGCCTCCCACCAATTAACATGGAACTCGACGTTCTTGGTCCTGGTTTGGACCATTTTCCTTTGAAGGGGAACCCTCTGTTAGGTTCCATGGTCATCGAATCGGTGGGAGGGTAAGCCCCCCCCTTTCCTTTAAAAACCAACCTAAGGGGGGTTCAAGGCCTTCAACCAACAGAGGGATCCCAAATGCCCACCAATTAACACGCATTGGGGTCCCGGTTTGGACCATTTTCCTTTCAAAGGGAACCCTCTCTCAGGATCCATGTTCATCGAACCAGTGGGAGGTTGAGACCCTGCTTCCCGTTAAGAAAGCAACCAACAAAGGGGGGTTCCCTTTAAAAGACTTCAACCAACAACCCCCCCCCCAACTTTTTACGGAACCTGACGTAAAAGGCGGGTCCCGGTGTTCGGACAGTGTTCCTTTTAAAGGACCGGGTTCTCGAACGTCAGGCTCCATGAAACAAAGGTGGGAGGGCAGACCCCTCAGCCCTCGAATTTAACCAACAAGCGGGGTTTCCCTTTAAAAGCCTTCAACCAACACGCTCCCAAAAATTTGGCCTCCCACCAATTAACATGGAACCTGACGTTGGGGGGTGTTCTGGTTTGGAGCATTTCCTTTCGAAGGGAACCCCTGTCAGGTTCCATGTCAATTGGTGGGAGGGTACCCTTCTGGTTTTCTTGATCCCCCCCATTTTGGGTGGGTGGTTTGCCTTCAGGTTTCCCTTGAACCCCACCCAAAAACGGAAACGATGGTGGGAGGGTAGTAGATACCCCCCCCCTCCTTCAAACTCAAACCAACCAACAAAGAGGGGGCTCCCTTTTAAAACACCTCAACCAACAGAGGGCTCCTCCCAAAAATCCCCACCCCCCCCCCCCACCCGAATTGGAGCCATCCCCTCCATCCCCTCCTGCCGAAGCCCCCCACTTCCCACGGCGAGACGCCTGCGGCACCGCGTCCCGCAGCTGCTCCCAGCGCTTCAGGCTCAGAGTCCTCATCGGGCCCAGGCGGCCGACGGCCCCAGGCGGCTGTTTCGGAGGGACGGGGTGGCCGAGGTTAAAAACAAAAAAAACCACTGCAACTCTTGGTATGGTACTGTCTTTTTGCAGCCCCCCATAAAAATGGACAGAACCGAAACGACTCTTGGGCATAGGCGTCCTTGTTGGGTTGGTTTGGTTGGAAAATAGAGGGTGATTCCTGGTTTACCTGGTGGCTCAATCATCCACCAGGGCCATCCATTTTCCGAAATGGACACCTGTGTTTGGGTCGAACCCGCAGATTTACGCCACAGGCAAAGCAGATCAAACCGCCAGATTCCTGACCCCGGCTATGGTGCAACTAATTCGCTAGATCATCGAAAATTCACGGTCTACAAATTCCTTTTGCCTATCTGGGGGGGGGGGAATGCAGTGGACCCCCTATCAAACAGGACTTTCTTTCTTTGTTTGGGGGGATAGGGATGAAGGGGCATCGATGCTTGCTGCAACAATGCCAGTGTCTTTTTGGGCCTTGAAACAATCATGAGAATGGTCAGTAGCCCTCATGTGTGGCCACAATTCTACCCCTGCGCAACATAATTCAAGCAATGAAAATGAAAGAGGCCCAGAACAGCTGAGTCTGGCATGTTGCTCAGCTGAGCGCAAGCCGCTTTGCATCTGGGAATCCAAGGTAACGTGCAGTGCTGAGCCGTCGCTTGACAAGTTGATTGCAGCCTTGGATCTGTGAGGCACCCATTGGCATTGGCATGGCGAAGATCTGATATCGCACGGAATGTTCAATCTTCAACCCCTGCACCATACGCGATACGCTCCATGTTGCCAACTGCCAGACATCAAATGGAGCCGCAGCTAAAGCTCCCTGCTCGAAAGAATGGTACCGAGAGCTTCCCGTTGAAAAGGGCTCTGGCCAGGCCAAATCTTCTGGAACTGTTTCGCCAAATTTGGCCCGGCGAAGTGAAGCAAATGCACAGCCAGTTGAACCACTTGGTGCTGGTGACTCCTTTTGGGGCATGAAATTGAATTCCTCGAAGGCCCAAAACCGTGCCAGGCGTCTCTTTGCCGCCCTCCCTCTGCAGGCCGAAGACCAGCGTTACCGGCTCCTTGCCAAACAAAACCTCTTCCATGCACCCCTTGACAGGCTTGTAACAGCCAAAAAACATTTGCTTGATTGTGCAAGTGCTGGTTGACAAGGCAATCCCCAGTCATGCACATCAATGAAAGCTCTGTGTAATTGCATCGCGTTTGCCTGTGATTTCACACAAATGCTTTCCAGATCAACAGACGCACACCCTTGCTTCCTGGCTCATTGACTTTCGCTCCCATAGAGTGCGAAGGCCCGCGCTCTATGGCAGTTTCCTTAGGCGAGCCGCTGTTTCCACACAAGAGAGGCTTGAGAAATGGATAACCCTCATGGAATCCCGACCCCTCCCCCTTCAACAAGGGGAAGAATCCTGAGACTAAAACACAAAAGCAAACAAAAACTCAACCTCCATTTGCTTTTCCGTCCCCTGGGGAAAAAACATATATATTTGTATATATGTATATTTTCAGTAGTGAAATCGATTCCCTTTAAAACCAACCAGGGAAAATGAATAAAACATATTCATTTCAGCAAATGGGTGTGGCTCAAAATTAAAGAGGCAGGGTTACGCAGGTCTTAGTCTTTGGTTCCATTTGCCAAGGGTGCCATTTTGGTACAGCCAAATGGTTCTCAAGGCAGGTCCTTCTCGCGAAGCAGCAGCAGCCCTTGGTCTGGCAGGCCCAGGAGCACCACGATGCAGCCTTCCCCGCGAGTGGCCAAACATTGGCCATCATTGGACCAGGGCTCGGACCCGGGCGCGATGGCACGGACGCGTGCACACTTCGCCACGGAAAGGCTTTGCGTGACAGTCAAAGGATTTCGGCAAGCTGAGGCACGCACAGCTTGCGTGGCAGGCGCAGCACTTTTGCGGACTCAGGCGCAATTTGCGTAACAGGCGCAGTCTTTTAGGAAATGCTGGCACGAAGATGTCGCAAATTCTATGGGCACTGACATGCAAACTGGCACATGAAATTTCGTGACAGGCGCGGCGCTTTGCGCAAGGTCAAGTGCGAATCGTGTGGCAGGCGTGTCACTTTCTCAAGGTCAAGTACAGATTTCGCGGCAGGCGCAGCGCGTTCGCGAGGTGAAGTGCAAAGTTTGTAGATTGAAACTTACGCCAACCTACTGGCACATGAGTCATGTCATGCGAGTAAGATCCTTTGTGAGCAGAGCCGTGCCCTGGAACTCCGCAAACAAATCTTTCTTCCCCGACCCAGCGTTCCCAGACCCGTCGGCCTCCTGCCAGTTAAGTAGCTTGGAAGCCATGATCCCCACCAGAGCCATGATTCTGACCCGGACACCAAGGCCCCCGTTCTCCGGCCTTCCCTCCCTTTCAGCGCTTGCAAGGAGGCGCTCAGCGTCTCCGGGGTCAGCAGCACTAGGCAGGGCGGCTCACCTACGCTCTCAGTTGGCCATGAAAAAAACTCTGTTGGTTATGTTTCTAGGGGTATTTCAAGTCCAGCTGGGCTCTTTACCTTTCACCCACCTCCTAGGGCCTGGGGGGGTGACTTTGATATAGGTGAAATAATCGGACCGGACATGGGACACCTGGACCTCCGGATTCTTGAGTCGCCTTGTCCTGAGTTCTTGCCTTTTGTAGGGCCTGGCCTGAGGCCAGGGACACTCCTCTTCCACTGGCCCCAGGAGTCCATGTCTTGACTCCTTTGAGCTAGAACTCAAAGGACCTAGGCCCTCACAAGACAAAAACACTATAACTTACCCTCCCAAAACAGTATAACTTACCCCCTCCCACCAGTTGACATGGATGCCAGGGCTCCCCTTTTTAAAAGGAACATGGTCTAAGCCAAAACGCTTCTGTCATGCTCCATCTTGATTGGTGGGTAAGACGAAATGGCTGCCCTGTGCCAACAGAGACAAGCTGCCAACAGCGAAAGCACAACATGCCTCTGCTGGCTGTGGTTGTCGAAACCGTTTTGGATCCCATGTTGGGGGATTGGTGCACCACCCATTTTAGAACCTATTTTAGTGGGGATTGGGATGTTCACAGGGGGTACGGGGTTTTGACCCATGGTCATACTATCAAATGTCCGAAAGTGGCTCACAAAAGTAGACTGGATCAGCTTTGTGTCGTGAACTGGCCACACAGGCTTGCAGTTGGTACTGAGTCAGCAAGTGTCAAATGGGTTTGCGCGACTTGGACATAGACAAACACACTGCACTAAGACTGCCTATCAAGCTGACACCCTTGCACACCATGTCTCAACACGCTTCTGATGCGCAGCTCTACCCTGTGCAACGTCATCCCCCGCATGCCAACAAAAGCGCCAAACAACAGCAGAACACCGTGCAAAGAATGAATGCTTGGGCAACCCTTTCAGACCATGACCAGGGAATATCCGCAAATTTTACCATAAATTCAAACGCGCTTTATGTACGGGGGTTCCTAAGAGGACCTTTTTCACGAACTCGTCTTGCCCCCGACGTCGGTGAGCTCACCAGAAAATGGCTGTAGGTCAAGAATATGTACCCAAAATGGAACCCTCGTAAATGGAAACATGGACTAAAACCTGCGGTCCAAATCCGTTTAATTTTGACCCATACCCACATGGCCTCAGATTGCCAACCTAAAGGTACTGCTCTACCTGAGCTGGGATCCTTGTGACTCTTTCTCATATCTCAATCCCATACCAATCTGCTCACTCTCC